GGAAACTTCATGAAGTTTCCCAGAATTTTCATGAGTCCCCTGGTATCTTCGTCAGAAACATCATGATTCCACCGAGAACTTCATGATTCCACACAAGTCTTCCGAAAATATTTTACATCATGATTCCACAAATCTCAGAAGCACATGACTATTTGTACTATCAAGATTATGAGTCCGAAGTGGAGATCGATCCTGATACCCCTCCTAACTACCATAATTTTCCTGACCCCACGCCTGAACAAAACACAGATAAGTTAGACACTATTTTGAGAACTGTAGACGACCTCAAGCTGGAAGTAACCACTATCAAAGATGAATTAACGCAGCTTCATATGGATTTCGTTACCTTCATGGACTTGGTTAGAAACCAATTTAATGACGTTGTTCAGCAGGTCAACAATTTGAAGAAACCGACGGAGTGATATCTTAGTTTTCACTTTAATTTAAGTTTACTGCATTTTACATTGTTTGACATTAGTTCATTTTGCAATTGTTTCCTCGTTTTGGATATTGTACTACCTTACACTCATTTTTCGATATAATGCTATTTTCATTTCAGTATTTTCCCTTAATTATGTTTCCTGTTAATTTTTATTTTGTCATTCGTCCATCATAAGTCATAATACCATATTCTCCACTGTTAAAACGCCCCACAAGCGAAATTCTGCAGTTCTGCAGACTTTGCTGATGTGACGGTCGTCACATTCCCATGACGGTCATCATGCGTGTTACGACCGTCACACATCCCTGACGGTCGTCATGCAGAAAAAACCCCAATTCTGTCTAAAACAGAGTTGCGCCCTTCTCCACTTCCTCTCCCCTAATTCCCCACTATCCCATTATTAAAACCCACTCAAAACCCTCTGAATCCCCCATAAAACCTCCACCATTTTCAACCTCCAATTCACCCTTATATATTACCCTCTACATTCCCTTGCCTCACCATTCTCTGAAACCCCATATTCTCAAACCTCTGCACTTATATCACAAAAAATGGCCAGCCAAACCAGTGCAAACCCCGATTTGAGCAACATCACCTTCCGAGAAGGAGAGGCCGGCGAACGGCAGCAGACTAACTTCCTAGCATTCCATCAACGGTCGCTTCAACTGACCTGGTATGCTCACTTGGATTCTCTGACGGAACTCAGGATTCTCGACGGAGTCACTTGGATGTTGCAGAGAGCCGGCATCTGGCATCTCTGCACCAATCCCTAACCCACCTACGAGCAACTCACTCTGGAGTTTCTCAGCTCTTTCGCATACACAACATCATCCGGCGATGCCTACCAACTTCACGGCGCCACCTGCTTTCGTCTGTTCGGCACTGAATATCAGGTCCCCCAGGACCGCATCACCGTCATTCTACAGTTAACTCACAGCGACGATGCTCACTGCCGCATCTCCGATCAGTTCTACCAAGAGGCCTTCCCTCTCTGGAACCGACTGACCGGAACCACTCCAGACAGTTGGGACACGCTGAACGCCACTCATATCCACAACCCAGCTATCCGCTACTTCCACCGCGTGTTGAGCAACATAATATTCGCTCGTGACAGTAACCATAAGGTCAACTCGAAGGAGCTGTTTTTCCTCCGCTGCGTGTTCGCTTCAGAGCAGGTTAACGCCGCCCCGTTTCTCTTGGCTCACATCCAAGCCAATTGTAACCGCGGCTCTAAAACTTTCTGTTTCGGTGGCATCATCACATCCATCGCCATAGGCCTCGGTCTTGGCGACCGCCTCCAGACACTCCACCAGATGCCCCCCGTATTCCTGGACACCGACCATTGCCGCGCCTCCCACCTCATCAAGGCCCGCCGTGATGGGAGATATCATCCTGTAGTGCGAGGCCGCACTATCCAGAGCATCATCATGTCTTCACGCACCCGGATGCATCTAGAGGACAGAGCCAACTGGCTCTTCGACACCACTGCCCCTGCTTCCCCAACACAGGATAATATCCAAGAGCCCAGAGACGAAATTCAAGAGGAGCTAGACAGAGCCGAGCAGCCTGAGCCATCACAAGCAGCTGCTGCTGCAGGCCCTTCCACGCGCCGCCGCCCCCGTCCTGCTACTGATGACACATTTGCGGCCCTCCTCCGTTGCATCGAGCAACAGAACCAGATGATGCTTATGATGGAGCAGCAGAACCGAAGGGCTGAGGAACCGGCCAAATTCAGCAATCTTTGCAGATGATGCACGATATCCATTCCGGCATGGCCGATGAGATGGCACACTTCACTGTGCGAGTCGACGGCCTCCAGGATTACATATTCCACACCGGAGCTCTGAACCTCGCCGCCCGTGACCCCCCAGCCAGAGGTCGAGGAAGAGATCGAGGATGAGGACGGGAATAGTAGTATTTTTCATTTTTGTCATTTTTGTTGTTTTTTTCTTTATTTCCTTTGTATTCCTCCCTTCCGCATTCTTTCAAATCAGTGAGGACACTGATTGAGATAATGTGGGAGCGGATCGTTATTTCCCTTTTCATTTCCCTTTCTCATGTTATTTCCCATTGTAATTTTTCTTTCGAATTCTCAATTTAAAGTAATTTTAATTTTTGGAAAATAAGCTCTTATATATATATATATATATATATATATATATATATATATATATATATATATATATATATATATATATATATATATATATATATATATATATATATATATATATATATATATATATATATATATATATATATATATATATATATATATATATATATATATATATATATATATATATATATCTCCGTTACGTGAACTCCCCGCGCTTCATATAACCATATACAAAGAAATTTCTAAACTCCTTGCCTCAAAGCATCACGAGGACACGCTAAAGTTCAATCAAGTATGGAAATCCCGAGAAGAAAATTCTAACAATTCCATTACCGTCCTGACACCTTAGACCTCCAATTTATGCGAGTCCGTTTCACTACCTACATATACCGAAGCTTCAAGCTCCTACTCAAACGTAGCCCCCAGTAGTTTATACAAGCAGTCAGCACCATCCTAAATGCTTCTAAGCAATGAAACCGATGCAAATAAGTGTGTGATCTCTAACTCAAAATGAAAAATCATGAAGAAGAAAAGCCATATAGCCTGAGTATAGAGACATGTTCCTTCTAAGTTAGGTGCTCCTCACCCGAGCATTTAGCCCAACGGTACAGAAAGTCTTTGGAAATCAATAGCATAAGCTTATGTGCAAAGAAGAATCGAAATAGAAAAGAGATCATAGCCACTAACAGGTTGACTTTCCATGAAAGTATATGGATAACGGGCTTAATGTGACTGCGCCAGAACAAACCGGGTAAAACTTGTTGCAAGGAACTTGACGCCAAGCTGCAGTAGCATGATTGGAACTGGCTTGCATAAAAGGGAGGCCTTCGAAGACTTACAACTCAGTGTCACCACCGTATGTATTTTGTTTCAATTTAAGTCTTGGCCTTCCTAACTTATGATTTGAAAAAAAACCTTTCGGAAAGGAGAAGCGTGCCGCGTGTTTGCCACATTTTCAATTTTTCCAACTTTTACTTGAGGACAAGTAAAGATTCAAGTTTAGGGGAGTTTGATAACGTGAAATTGTATATATAAAATGACATGTGTTTTAACTAATATTTGACTGATTTCACTTCGAATTCAGGACATTCCATGCTATTTGTCTAAGTATTATGCAGGTATTCGAAGAACATGTCCAAGCAAAGCAATATGAAGAAAAGGAGCAAAAACAGGTGAAAAACAGATGAAAAACCAAGAGAAAAACAGCAGAAACGAATTTTACTGATGTGACGACCGTCACATGGCCGTTACGCTCGTCATGCGTGTGACGACCGTTACACCTCCATGACGACCGTCATGCACCCAGAACATGCAGAATGATGTCATGTGCTAAAATTCCCCCTCAAAGACCAAAAGTGTGGCCACTAACTCCTACTTTTCTGCCTCAAACCCACTTCCTGAAGGAATAACCGTTAGATTCTCTCTCTATAAAAGGAAGAGGTTGGGACCTGAAAAAGGGAGCCGCATTCAAGACAACAAAGTGCTGCCAATTTATCTTCAGAGCAACCTTACCGTTTTCATATTCTTATATTCTTATTTGTTTCTCTTTGGTATTATTTGTTTGTGTTATTAACTAATTTTACTATTTCATTTATCATAAAAATTTATGTTATTCATTACTTATTTTATTTATAATTAATTAACCATTTTTACTATTTCGTTAACCAATATAATATTAAGTATTAACCAATTTTAAACATTAAATTATTAATTATATTAACCAACATTTAAAACTTTATTAACCAAATTGATTTACAACATAATATTTTAACCTTTTATATTTTTAATGTCATGATACATATTAATCGAATTATCAATTGTATAAACCAAAATTGTAAATTTCATTAACCAAGAATCTTTTAGAAAGAAAAAAAATATTGAAAAGTCAAAATAAAAAATAAAAAATCAATGTTCATTGTATTTATGAAGACTGAAACATAAGATGCAAGTGTTAAGTATTCAAAATAGGATTATTGATATATTTTTTATTAAATTTGTCCATATAAACTGTCATATCAGTAAAATCGACATAAAAATAATAAACCAAAACTTTAAAAAAACTTGAAATTGAGACACCAAATAAATTGTTTTAAATAATACCTAATACAAAGTTGACACTACTGCTCTCTGTGGGTTTGAAACTTGGGAAAACACAGATCACAGCAATCAGCATACATAATTATTATTTCTCAACAGTAACAAAATGAATATAGAAAGAAAAAAAATACAAATTTGTGTTCTTCCATCCAATATTTAGATTATGCAAAATTCCTAGTAAACTAAGCTAAATAATCAAAGGTAAAATACATTTGCAGGACTGAGGAGTAACTGATTCACTGCTTCACCATCAATCCATGTTTCTTAATTGAGTAGTGTGTTTAATGGGACCAAATTTGTCCTTGTAATATACTTATTTGCTAAGTGTTACCTTCAATGTTTCTATGTATCCCTACTAAAAAGACCGTAGCCAGGACTTTTTGTATTCGGACCTCTAGGATTCGGGTGGATATTGTCACGGGAAGGCATCGGGCTTCTTGATCCAGAAGGGTGATTTGAATTCGAGGGTGTCCACCTGTTTGTGTCTCTTGTCACTGGATTTGTGTTTGGTGTTGTTTGTTGGGACCTGTTTCTTGGCTCGGCTTTTCTGTACCTATTTTCAGTCACAGCAGGAGGCACCTGCGCATTCGGTTGAACCTTGTGCTCGCCATGATGACTAGCTTTTTTATATCTATTTTCTAGTACGGGTGGAGAAACTGATTCATTCCTGTCGTTGACACTTTTATCTGATCCGTCAGCCGAGAATGGAAATTGCTTGTTACCACGAGAAATCAATGCCTCTTGTGTTTCAAACTGATATTCAGGAGAACTCTGATTCTTATGGTTAATAGAATCACTAGAAGTGGCAGTTAATGGTTCCACACCACACTCCTCGGCTTTCACATCCGTTTGTACGGCATCTTGAGATTTTTTCACACCTTTCTTAGCCGGGCCGTATTTCAAATGTCTGACTATCATATAAGCTTCTTTTTTTGTCAAATGTGGTCCACTTTCCACAACACAGACATCTTCTATCTGCGAAGAATTGTAGAATGGAAGGATATAAAGAAATGGGAATGGGAAAAAGTTTTGTAAAAAATAGTTCGGATAGAAAATCACAGAATAAGAAGAAACCATCATACCAGAGTTGAAAGACGGGATACTGAGTCTAACATGGCCTGATCTGCGTTGCCTGTTGCCTTGACCTGTTTGAAGTAGTAAAAAGAGCAACCATGATTCATTGACTAGCAATGCACTAAATTGTACGATGCGACAGATGAACGTGGTTTATGTTGTTACAAGGTAAAGATCTTACAATATCACGGTGATGCATAATATGCAATAAAAATCTGTGGCAGAGACAGGGAAGGGATATTTGGGGTGGAAAAAGTCCAATGCAGGAAGATAAAAAGGGGGCTTCGATTTCAAATTAAGTCAACTTGGTTGCTTATGATGAACAAAAACTAAAGATGCTTTTAATCAGGGGAAATGCCATATATGGAGAGTGAGAGTACCTTCACCCGATAACCCTTATCCATTAACTTTCGAACCATGTCTGCTTTCATCTTAAGGTCTTTTGATTCCTGAAAACATGAATAGAGGAAAAAAAACTAATACATCAAAACTTCCTTCTCCAGGTTTGGGAAATAAAATACAGCAACCACTCAAAATAAAGAAACTAAAATCAAAGAGATGGTACCATGAATGTTACATTTCTCCCGATACAGAAACTAGACCAGTTGTTAGATTCAAACTGCACTGCTGTCTCCCATCTTTAATACAGGCATTAATATTTAATAGCCTTAGGCTAGACATAGATGTGAGTACAGATAAGCTAAACATGCACAATAACTGGTGGCAGCCTATATACTAAGGAGGAAAGCTTCAGCATCCTAAGGTGGTTCTTAGAATAAGACCTTATTCAATCCTAGAGTAAGTTTAATATCTTTAACTCCTTTATTGATCATCACTGCTTCAACGCATCTTTAACCCCCCAATATAAGTGTCTGACAAGTGTGTTCAAAAAGTGTCTAAGGTGTGTCAAAGCAAACATATTTTTTTGGGACACTTGCATGAGCAATCGACACTTGTATGAGCAATTGGACACGTGTTGTATGGGTGTCAGACATGGTGAAAGACGGTGAAATGCTTAATCTCAGAGGTGTATGTGCTTCAGAGGGGTGTATAAGCTATGATACCAACTTAAAACTTAGACTGTGGCTAACTCAACTTTAAAAGCTAGCTCTAAAGGTGAGGATTCCTCACTGTAAATTTACTCAAGCCTTAAAGGATTTGTTAGGCTATATCTCTAGTAAACGTTCAAATTCAACAGTGGTGAAAACTTGCATCCTGGTTTACTTGCACAGACTAATCTCACAAATTTGTTCCCAAACGTACGTAGACTCTAAAATATGGCTAGGAAAGCTTAGCAAAAACACAGCAATTGTAAACCTAATATAAAGAAAACTAATTCCTTTTAAGGAATATGCAAAAATAAGAGGATTTAGAGAATGAGAACTTACGGTTTTTTCAGAAAATCGCACTTCCTTACATTCCTTTCGCATTGTCGTCTCAGACTGCATTTGTCAGAAAAAATAATTAAGAACACTGTGTCTAAAGAACAAATATTTCTCTTTGACAACTCCCAAGACATGCCATGACAGCAGAGTGACTACAGTTAACTAAAATTTAAAACACCCAGAGATAAACTATTAAATACATTTTAACTTTTATCTGTCAAAGAAAACGGAGGATACGAACAATGGAAGACCAAGAACTTTCCAGGCACGTGCAACATTGGTTTCTGTTGTAGTATCAGGAAAGTGCAAAGCTTCACTTCCTAGTTTCTAATTCCTACCGTTTCATTATTAAACTGTCCAGCTTGCAGCACCATAATGTTTTTGGAATAATGAGAAAACATCATGTATTCATTCGGTATATCAATTAGCATGCAATATGACCATGCATTCTAACAAGTTAAACGTGTGTGTTGTACAAGTGGCTTGTTAACAAACATTCGTATGTTCAAGTATATATTAGCATTGTTGAATCAAAATGACTAGGATAAAGACTATCAGCATTGATTTAAAATCAAAAGCTGTTAAAGAAACTTCACAACAAAACTTGAAAATAACGGCATTAAACATAGCAATCACACCTTGCTTTTAGCTCGTTCCTTGTCACTTTCTTTTTTCTTGTACATTTCCTTGTGGAAGTCCATGATTTTACAAACAGGTGGCTTAGCATTTTTATCAACCTGTAACATGAGCAAGTGCTCTCAAAATAAATGTCATGATATATAGGAAGCAGATTCTAATGCTTCAGATGTCATAGACAGACAGATATGATGCAACGGTATAAAGCCAACCACAATTCTTAACAAAGCCCTGATATTAGGGATATGTTGTATACACATAAAGGTTAGAAATAGAACCCCTAATTTAGAGGTATCTATAAAATTTCAGTTAACATGGAAAAAGAGATAGAAACTTTTATTTACCTCAACTAAATCAAATTTAAGCTTCCTGGCACGTTCCAATGCTTCAAACCTTGACACTACCGAATGTCCTGCATAAAATTGTGCAATTAATGGGAAATTCAAAACTCAACTAAAACTTCATAACTCACAAGTTCAATCTTCCAAGTCCATGAATTAATCAATATAGTTCTAAATGCTGCATCACCATCCTCCATAGTTCCATGGACTTCAACCTTTTATTATGAGTATATTTTTTTATGAAAGTTTAAGTTACCTAGGGTAAGAAAAGCGCCGGATAAATGGATGTTGGCTTTAGTTATCTGACTTAATGTAAATAAGAGAAAAATCTATATGATAGCGCTGGGCAAATGTAGTATCACTATTCATTTTTATGAAAATATCTTGGTAGCTTTGAGTTCTATAGCAATTTTTCATTATAGCATTCCTAGGTTTAAGCACATAAAGAGTCTTAAGTGTGTGTTTGGTTCTGCAGTGAAAAAATTTTGAGTGAATTGATTCTAGCTAAAAGTTAGTTGAAGGTAAAGTGATTTATGTTTGGATAAATTCTTGTAAAAGTGAGTTGAAGGTGAAGTGACATGTTTGGCTAAATTCCTGCAAACGCGAGTTGAACAATATATTTCAGTGTAAAAATCACGTTTAGACTCAAAAGCTACAACTCCTAGTTTCAAGTAGAATCAATTCTGAAAAAGCATAATCAATTTGTCAAAATTAATTCTACTCATCCAAAATCAATTATAGGTGCTGAAAATGTGAAATCAAACGTGTACTAAAATGAATAGAGCAAGAGTAGAGAGCTAACAAACAAATGCAATGAGGGCCAATCATGATAAAACATAGCAAAAGTAAGCAAAGAAACCAATGTAAATTTAAATGCATGTCTAAAATCACAGCTAGTCTGACGAATTCACGACAACACCACGATTTTGTTGAAGCTTTAAAGTGTAGCTTTTGTCAAAATCATGGTGACACACTGTGATTCCCCCAAATATTCATTAGTATGTATCATGGTATAGGATTACCATCATCCAACACAAGTCTGACAAAGTTAGCTTTGATTTGATCATTCAACCGTGGTCCATCTGAGTCATCCTCCTCTTTCTTGGGCTTAACCTGAAACTAAAACAAAATCCCAAAAAATCATCATCAACTAACACCATCAACATCATCATACCATATCCATTAGTTCATAAATCGCCATACAACCTATTAGTAAAAGTTTGTAAATTTACCTGAACGGGAACAGCGAAAAACCTAACGCTATTGAAAAGGGGGTGTGAATATGGAATCGGAATAGGGAAAGTTTTAGGGGTGGAATTGGAGAGAGAAGAATGGGGAAGATGATGAGTGTAACATCTGTGAAATTGAAAGTATGAGGTTTTGAGGTTAGAGTTACGGATTCGGTGCCAAAACGCCATAACCTCAACGAATCTAACGGTTGGGTTAACCGTAAGTGAGGTTAGTGTGTTTTTTATTTGGCAGGGAAAGAAAGAGGACCAAAGAGAGGCTCAAATTGTTCTATATAAAAGGTTTTGTTTTTATCTCATGTGGGCCTCGCTTGTTTTGATATAATATGAAAAATAAAAAAATCAAATAATTTTTAGTAAACTAAATTTATTAGATAGTCATAAATGTGAAATGAAAACAAAAAAACCGCGTTCATAGTTTTAAATATCGGAGAAGTTATTGTATGGAATTATTTGTTTTTGACACTTTTGTGTTATATAGGGGTGATCAAATAAATCGGTTATTTAAATAATCTACATTCATATTTAAATTCGGTTATTAAAAATCGGTTAATTATTAGTATGATTTTAACCGAATCCACATTTTGGATATATTTTTAATATGGTTTTAACCAAATCTATAATTTGGATATCCATATCCAAAATAAAAACCAAATTAGTTAATTTTTTTAATTAAAAAAAACTTTGAAATTTTTTTTCAAACAACAAATATTTTTATTTTGAAAAAAAAATATTATTTTAATTTTTTTCAGTAAATAAAAATTTTTCCGTCATAATTATTTTACTACTTATTTTTGAAACATCGTTGACGGAAACTAATTTGTTTTTCATTTCAATTTCAGCTTTAAAAATTAATTATTTTACTATTGATAAATAATATATAAATAATATCAATCTATACGATTTCTATTTTATTATATTTTATGTCACGTCATTTTAAATTTATCATTCAATTTTATTTGAAGTATAAGAATGAGTTATCTAAAGTGAGTGATTTTAATAGTGAATGACCAATTTAATGTTAAATCAATCATCTTTTATTATTATTATATATTAACATAGACTTACATATTATACAATTTATTAATTATTAATATAATTGTTGCACAATAATAATTTCACACCTGCACTACCTGTTAAAATATCTAAATACTTATTCTAGTATGGTTGTATTATACTAAAAGTCTATATTGCTCTCTTCAAGATGATTAAGAAAGAGTTTGTTTAAAATTTTCACAACCGATTTGCAAAACAAAACGTTTTATTCAAGATATTTAAACTATATAATATCTCCTTCATATCACTATAGCACTCTAATTATTTTATTCGTGATTCAAAAAATCAAAATAAAAATTAAATTAGTCAATTTTTTGAATTAAAAATAAAATTGAATTTTTTTTTTAAAAAAAATATTTTTTTATTTTGAAAAAAAATTAATCTTTTTTAAAAAAATGTTGTTTTAATTTTTTCAGTAAATAAATTTTTTTTCCAAAAAATTTTAAAAAATAATTTTTAATAAAGTTAATTTTTTAAAATCAACATAGTAATTTTTAGTTACTATGTATTTGAAATATTAGTAAAGTTAATTTTTAAAGGGAATTAAATTTCCACTTCGTAACAGTATTTTTATTTTTTAGTTACTCTTGTTGATCACTAATATGTTGATTTCTATATATTTTGATGAAAATATACACCTATACATTTTGTTACTAGTATATTGTGAAATTTTTAAAGGGAATTAAGTTTACACATAGTAATATTATAATTTTGAAAACGTCAATTTTAAAATAAAATTAAATCAAAACTAATTATAAAATTGGTTATGAATATAACCGGTTAATAACCGGTTTATAACCATTTTAAAAGATAAAAACTGGTTATGAGATTTGGTTTTAATAACCGGTTGTAATATATGGATTATTTATGGTTATGGATTGGTTTTGAACATTAACCATCCATGACTATCCCTAGTGTTATAGTTGTCAGTTAAGTTATTAGATGGAGGTGTATCTAAACTTTTAAAACCGTTATTTTGAAATATTTTCATTAAAGACCAAAGAGTCACTATTGTAAGAAAAGAGTGAACCTGATTGAAAAGAGACTTATGAAAGTCTCTCTTGAAGGAGAAAATCATTGTTGCTAAAGGTCACGGTGCATAATAAGCTTTTTTAAGAACTGTGCAATTCTTGGGAGGAGACACTAGTCATAAAAGTCCTTGGGAAGAATATGAACTATCATTTGATGAGGGATGGGTTGAAGAAGATGTGGAAACTTATCAGAGGTCTTGAGATCATGGACATTGACAATGATTTCTTTATGGTCAAGTGTGAACTGCTCGCAAATAGGGAGAAAATTGTGTCAGAAGGCTTGCGGATGTTGTTTGACTATTATTTGGCAGTGACTCGATGGACTCCAGACTTTGCATCTCCTCTCCCAAAGGTGGAGAAGACTTTGGTTTTGATTCAATTTTTCGGTGCTTAAATTATTATATTATGGTGAAAGTGTCTGTCTTGATTTGACATTTGTTGTCGGTACTCTTATTAATGTAAATACTAACACCCTGAATATAGAGAGGGAGTGATTTGTGAGAATTTACGTGTAGATTGATCTGACTTTGTCGATTGTCAGAAAAATCAATATTAATAGTCATTGATACAATGTGCAGTATGAATGTTTTCACATTATTTATTTGTTATGGACATCACATCAATGATTGCAAGAATATACTAGAAAATTTGACGCAATCAGTCGTTCCTAGGATGGTACAATCAAGAGATCCGCTAGAAAGCAATGTTATCCATAAACAAAAAGTAACAGAAATCAAAGGGGTTGATGTTTCTTTAAAAAGAATAAACTCTCACGGTACAATTGTAACACTCCGAATATTGTGTCCAAGATATTACTTTAAAAAAAATTATATTTACTTTAAACATAAACTATATTGAATTAAGACTATAAGATCATAGTGTAGAGTAATAATAATAATAATATAGTATATGAAGTACATGATGTATAGTGTATTACAATATACAGTAAGTTATATAGTTAAAATAAAGGGTCTTGTTAACCAGTGTCCTCAAGGCACTATTTAAACATTCCATATTAAGAAATTATTTTTTAAAAAATTCAAACACTTCCATTTCCAATGCATATTATTACACATTATTGCACATACTTTTATAAAAACTTACTATTTAAAGTTTTAAAAAATGTCCTCAGGGCACTGGTTAGCATTTCCCTAAAATAAAATAGGTCATAATATATATATATATATATATATATATATATATATATATATATATATATATATATATATATATATATATATATATATATATATATATATATATATATATATATATATATATATATATATATATATATATATATATATATATATATATATATAAAAGTACATGAGATATGTAATTCTGCATGTTATTAGAGATGGATATTAACTCTATATAATATTGGTTGTGGTGTGTCTGCTATTTTGTGAAATTGATACTATCATATATAGAGATGGTTGTGATATGTTTGTGTAGCTATATATGCCGAGCATATATAGAGATGATTGTGATAATGTGGTGACACCGAAAACACTAATGATATATTTGTGTATTTCTACTTAGTCAATTTAAATAAGTAAATAATAATTACTCTGTAATATAATATAGTCAGATAAATGTGCTGCAATTTCTGCAATTTCTCTAGATAATCAAATAGAGTGTTAGTATGTTAAATTGATGTTGCCATTGTTAAAACTCAAGGACTAAGAGATAACAGTAGAAGAAATAACACACTGCCTTAAAATTCAAAACAAATAGAGGCTGTTTTATAGCCTTTTCAAGAACAGAAGAGTGGCAGAAAACCACGTCTATAAGTCTACTACGTGGTTATTAAGAAACTGAAATAAAAACTGACTCTCCCTACAAATTAGGACAGCATGACTGACTTATTCTTCCTAAATACTAGGACTTAATAACAGAATTAATAAAAATTATAACAAATAATATTTAACAATCCCTCCCTTAAGCTAATGTATCTGCATCTAGCTTACTTTAGTAGCTTCAGTCACTCCAAGCATGTCGCGGAACTTCTCAAACTGCTCCAACTTAATTGGTTTTGTCATTATATCTGCAATTTGATCCTGCGAGTTGCAGTAGCTTAGTTCAACGACTCCATCATTCACCAAGTCTCTTAAGAAATAAAACCTTACATCGATATGCTTGCTTTTTCCATGTAACACTGGATTCTTGGATAGCTGTGTAGTGGAGCTGTTATCACACATAATTATAGTTCTTGTCTTCTCTTCAACTCCCAGTTTCTCCAGCACCCTTTTGAGCCAGACACACTGACAAGCACACAATGTTGCTGCTATGTACTCTGTTTCCGTAGTCGAAAGAGCAACTACTGTTTGTTTCTTTGAAGACCAAGAGACAGCTCCAGACCCCATCATAAACACAAACCCAGAGGTACTTTTCCGATCATCCAAGTCGCCGACATAATCACTATCTGTAAAGGCGGTGAGTCTCAAGCTGCTTTCTCCTTTCTTATAAAAAATACCAAGATCAGTTGTACCTTTTAAGTACCTTAAAATTCTTTTTGCTGCAAGCCAGTGTGACATGGTGGGATTAGACATGAACCTGCTTATTAGACTAACCACATACATCAAGTCAGGCTTAGTTACAGTTAAATACATGAGGCTTCCAACCACCTGTTTAAATAGAATTTCATCAACTCTAACTCCTCCTTCGTCCTTAGACAACTTTGAACCGGGCACTATTGGATTCTTCACTACATTACTGTCCACCATACCAAACCTTGTTAACACTTCACGCGCATACCTCCTTTGACAGATGAAAATTCCCTCCGAACACTTTTTAACTTCTACTCCGAGAAAGTGTTTCATCCTTCCCAAGTCAGACATATCAAATTCCGACATCATTGAATTTTTGAGCTCATCACGCATAGCTCGATCATTCCCAGTAAATATTAATTCATCAACATAAAGACTGACTATTAATATTTTACCTCCTAGCGACTTTGTGAATAGTGTGTGCTCACTAGGACACCTCTCGAACCCTTCGCGAATAAAATAGGTATCAATTCTACTGTACCAAGCTCGGGGCGCCTGTTTAAGGCCATAAAATGCCTTCCTCAACCTATAG